CCCCCGGCGCAGGGAAACCCCGCGCTCGTCTGCCCCAGGGCCGACCCCCTCCCCGGCGCAGGGAAACCCTGCGCGCACGCCTCCCCCGGGGATGACTCACCCCTCCTGTGCGGCGCAGGGAGCCGATGCTCCCTCCCGCAGTACACCCGGCAGAGCAGCTAGCGCTACTTCCGGAATCACCGGAAGTGGCACCAAGCTGTGGGACTTCTGTCCATCCCCAGGAAGCCTATATTACCTCCATTATCACTTGAGTTAGATAGCGGGGCTTCTCGGGGGTGGAAGGGAAATGGGGGCAGGGCGGACAGGACTGGTCAAGGCCTCGCGATCGACCTGTTGGTGACCACGGCATCGACCTGTTGGTGACCACAGTGCTAAGTGCTAGGCCGGACTATTTTAGAGATAGTAAGTAGTCCAGTAAAGTAGGTAAAGGAGCGAGGTGTGGTGGGCTTGCGTGGGTTTGAGCATGCCAGTGAGAGAATCGAGTCCATTTGTACAGGTAGGTTTTCCTGGTGGAACGTCTTCTACTATTAATTAGAATGTCCTTCCCTTGTTCCGAGCAGGCAGTCTCGGCATCCTGGAGCCATGAAGAAGCCAGGCATGGAGATGGAGCTTGAGAACGTCTGGATGAAGAGTCTGACCATGGTTCTGCAAGAGGAGGTTGTGATGGCGATGAAAGGGATATGGGTCCGTCACCGCCATCTTGAGGAGGTAAGATTACCATATAGAATCATAGGACTGGAAGGGACCTCAAGAGGTCATCGAGTCCAGCCCCCCACCCTCAAGGCAGGACCAAGCTCCGTCTACACCATCCCTGAGAGATGTCTATCTAACCTGTTCTTAAATATCTCCAGAGAGGGAGATTCCACCACCTCCCTTGGCAATTTATTCCAATATTTGACCACCCTGACAGTTAGGAATTTTTTCCTAATGTCCAATCTAAACCTCCCTTGCTGCACTTTAAGCCCATTACTCCTTGTCCTGTCCTCAGAAACCAAGAGGAACAAATTTTCTCCTTCCTCCTTGTGACACTCTTTTAGAAATTTGAAAACCGCTATCATGTCCCCCCTTAATCTTCTTTTTTCCAAACTAAACAAGCCCAGTTCATGAAGCCAGGCTTCATAGGTCATGTTCTCTAGAACTTTAATCATTCTTGTCACTCTTCTCTGTACCCTTTCCAATTTCTCCACATCTTTCTTGAAATGTGGCACCCAGAACTGGACACAGTACTCCAGCTGAGGCCTAACTAGTGCAGAGTAGAGCGGCAGAATGACTTCACGAGTTTTGCTTACAACACACCTGTTGATACAACCTAGAATCATATTTGCTTTTTTTGCAACAGCATCACACTGTTGACTCATATTCAACTTGTGGTCCACTATGACCCCTAGATCCCTTTCTGCCATGCTCCTTCCTAGACAGTCGCTTCCCATCTTGTATGTATGGAACTGATTGTTCCTTCCTAAGTGGAGCACTTTGCATTTCTCTTTATTAAACCTCATCCTGTTTACCTCTGACCATTTCTCTAACTTGCTAAGGTCATTTTGAATTATGTCCCTATCCTCCAAAGAAGTTGCAACCCCACCCAGTTTGGTATCATCTGCAAACTTAATAAGCGTACTCTCTATCCCAATATCTACATCATTGATGAAGATATTGAACAGTACGGGTCCCAAAACAGACCCTTGAGGAACTCCACTTGTTATCCCTTTCCAGCAGGATTTAGAACCGTTAACAACAACTCTCTGACTACGGTTATCCAGCCAATTATGCACCCACCTTATCGTGGCCCTATCTAAGTTATATTTGCCTAGTTTATCAATAAGAATATCATGCGAGACCGTATCAAATGCCTTACTAAAGTCTAGGTATATGACATCCACCGCTTCTCCCTTATCCACAAGGCTCGTTATCTTATCAAAGAAAGCTATCAGATTAGTTTGGCATGACTTGTTCTTCACAAACCCATGCTGGCTATTCCCTATCACTTTATTACCTTCCAAGTGTTTGCATATGATTTCCTTAATTACCTGCTCCATTATCTTCCCTGGGACAGACGTTAAACTGACCGGTCTGTAGTTTCCTGGGTTGTTCTTATTCCCCTTTTTATAGATGGGCACAATATTTGCCCTTTTCCAGTCTTCTGGAATCTCCCCTGTCTGCCATGATTTTTCAAAGATCATAGCTAAAGGCTCAGATACCTCCTTTATCAGCTCCTTGAGTATCCTGGGATGCATTTCATCAGGACCTGGTGACTTGCTGACATCTAACTTTCCTAAGCGATTTTTAACTTGTTCTTTGTGTATCCTATCTTCTAAACTTACCCTCTCTCTGCTTGTATTCACTACGTTAGGCACACCTCCAGACTTCTCGGTGAAGACCGAAACAAAGAAGTCATTGAGCATCTCCGCCATTTCCAAGTTTCCTGTTACTGCTTCTCCCTCCTCACTGAGCAGTGGTCCTACCCTGTCCTTGGTCTTCCTCTTGCTTTTAATGTATTTATAAAAGGTCTTCTTGTTTCCCTTTATGCCTGTAGCTAGTTTGAGCTCATTTTGTGCCTTTGCCTTTCTAATCTTGCCCCTGCATTCCCGTGTTGCTTGCCTATATTCATCCTTTGTTATTTGTCCTAGTTCCCATGTTTGTCTGGGCCACACAGGTGCCATTAGAATGACTAGTGCCTGGTCCGTTCTGATCTTGTTGAGGACTTTGTGTAGGAGCGGGAAGGGGGGAAAGGCATACAGGAGAGAGGCATCCCATGTGATGGAAAAGGCGTCTCCGAGGGAACATTTCCCCAGGGCTCCCCTGGAGCAGTAGAGGTGGCATTTTCGGTTGTTCTTTGTGGCAAAGAGGTCCACCTCCAGTTGGCCCCAATAAATGCAACTTAGGGCGTCTGCTGTGACGTTGAGTATTCTGGGAAGATATACAGCGGAAGGGGTGACCCCATGTGAGAGGCACCAGGTCCAGAATTTGGTGGCTTCCGAGCATAGGGAAGGGGAACGGGCGCCACCCTGACGGTTGATGTAGTACATGCAGGTGGTATTGTCCGTCATAATGGTGATGGTCTTGTTGGCTATATGGTGAATGAAGTATTGGCATGCATATCTGACTGCCCGTAACTCGAGGAGGTTGATGTAGAGTGTTTGCTCCACAAATGACCATTTGCCTTGAGCTGTGATGCTTCCCAAGTGGGCTCCCCATCCCATGAGTGAGGCATCTGTTATAACTGTGAGAGTGGAAGGGGGGCGTTGGAAAGGAACGCTGTGTAGCAAGTTTTGAGGAATTGTCCACCAGAGCAGGGAGTTGATGATGGATGGTGGAATGGCGACAGACTTGGAGAGTTGGTCTCTGGAGGATCTGTAAACCGTCGCAAGCCAGGACTGGAGAGGTCTCATATGGAGTCTGGCCAGGCTGACGACAAAGGTCGTGGAGGCCATGTGCCCGAGGATTTTGAGGCAGTGGCGGACCATGACAGTCGGCACCGCTTGTACTGATCAGATAAAGTCGCATATAGTTGCGAACCTGTGCTCGGGAAGAGTAGCCCTTGCTGTGACTGTGTTGATGAGCGCGCCTATGAATTCCAGCCTCTGCGTTGGGCGTAGAGTGGATTTTGCGTAATTTATGTGAAACTCGAGGCTGAGTAGAAGGGCTATTGTGGTATCTGTCATGGCCTTCGTCTCATCGAAAGACGCACCTTTTATGAGGCAATCGTCCAAATACAGGAATATTATGATGCCTTGGTGTCGAAGAGAGGCCATTACGACCGCTAGAACACCCTGGGGCCGTGGACAGGCCAAACGGGAGCACCCTGTATTGGTAGTGTTGGGTGCCTAACATAAACTGTAAGAAGTGTCTGTGAGCAGGATGAATTGTAATGTGGAAATAGGCATCTTGAAGGTCGAGAGCCAAAAGCCAATCGTGTTGATCAAGCGTGGGAATGATAGTTGATAGGGTGACCATCTTGAAACGGTGATATGTGATGTATTTGTTGAGGCGCCTGAGGTCTAAGATGGGTCGCCATCCTCCCGTCTTCTTCTGGGTTAGGAAGTAGGTTGAGTAGAAACCCTAGCCCCGGAATTGTGGTGGTACGTGTTCAACTGCGCCCAGCTGAAGAAGATGTGAAATCTCCTGTAGGAGGACGGTTTCGTGAGCAGGGTCCCTGAAGAGGGACAGAGTAGAAGGGTGGGTGGGAGGAACGGAGGTAAAGGGGATAATGTAACCAGATTGAATCAGATCCAAGACCCGTTTGTCCGAAGTGATGAGGGACCACTGGTGGAAAAAGGCCCGGACGGGGTGGTGGAACTGAAGGATATCGGACGGAAGTGTCAGTGGATTGGCTTCCTGGCTCTCGACCTGACTTTCAAACCTGATGCTTGCTCAATGGTGGATGGGATGCGACATGCTGTTGTTGTCAGAAATAGTACTTGGGTTGTTGCCTGAACGGCTCTCTCGGGTGTTGGTAAGGCTGATACCTAGTTCTCTTGAATGGAGGAGTATACATTCCGAGGGTCCTGAGAGTAGTACAAGAGTCCTTCATAGAATGCAACACTTCGTCGGTCTTAGCTGTGAAAAGGTTGGTTTGATCGAAGGGTAAGTCCTCAACCTTTTGTTGTAGATCCCTAGGTACCCCAGATGCTTGTAACCAGGAAATTCTGCGGAGCACTATCGCCGAGGCCGTAATTCGAGCTGCGGTGTCAGCCACGTCCATAGCGGACTGCAAGGCTGTGTGGGAGATGGTGTGGCCCTCCTGCATGATATTGAGCAGGGTTGACCGTTTATGCTCCGGAAGGTGTTGGAGGAGATCCTGGAGCTTGGAATAATTAGCATGGTCATAGTCCACAAGCATGGTAGTATAGTTCGCAGCCTTCTTGTGGTCTCTGTACTGTGGGGTTGTTCTTAGATTAGGCTGTTTACCCTTGTGACGTACTGAATCCACTACTGGGGAGTTCGGAGGTAGGTGGGTAAAAAGGAAGTCCGTATTTTTTGGAGCGATAAAATATTTACGGTCTGCTCTCATTTGTTGGAGTGACGGATGCTGGGGTCTGCCAGATATTGTCGGCCGAGTCCATAATAGCCTCATCCATGGGGATAGCAATTCTAGAGGCGGTTGGCGGCTGAAGCGTACGAAGAAGGCGATATTGTTTGACCTGCACCTCTTGGAGATCTCTTTCCTGAGCTATAGCAACTCTTTTAAACAATTCCTGAAATTTTTTCATGTCATCTCCCGACGGTGGGGCTTCGGTGGTGACCGCTTCGTCTGGGGAGGAGGACAAATTGTGTAGAGGAGATCTGGTCTCGCCTTCAGAGAGAGAGTCGTGTGCGTCTGAGGGGGCTGGAGAATTCAGCTCAGTGGCAGATACAGTGGCAGGAGGCAAGGGAGGAGGTGGCCTGGAAATAGTAGAAGAGGGTCGGTGGTGACTCTTCTTTGGACGTGGCTCCCAGGGTTGCCATTGAGTGGCATATGGCGGGGGTGGGTAAGCATACTGTTGCGCATACCATGGATGCGGAGGGGGAGGGTATGCACACTGAACTGTAGGCGGCTGCCGGGATGGAGGTCTGTGAGCCGGGCTAGAATGTTGCGACGAGAACCTGCTTCTGGGTTCGGTGCCGATGTCACTAGCTGAACAAGAAGCGGCCGAGGAGCGGTGAGATCTCGCTGAGTGGATAGAGGAACCCGGGGACGACGGTGCCGAAAAGGTGTGGCTCCGCACCGGGGATCGGTACCGACTTTGAGACGGTGCTGGGCAGTGTGGTTTCGGTGGTAACGGCATCGTTACCAAAGAGGTTGTAGGTGCCGAGGTTCATTCCGGCACCGAAGCACTAGAAGGTGGATTATCGGCACGGGCCTGTTTCGGTGCTGAACCTGGTGCCGTTTTGGCCTGCTTCGGTGCCGAGTGCTCTCTCGACGGCGCCGTCGGTGCCGAGGATGGCTTAGGCGCCGTAGTGGTCGGTGCTGCTGATTTTTGTTTTGGCTCAGAATGAGCTCTCTTGTGCGGTGCCTGCGCCTTAGGTCGCGATGTGCCAGAGGTTCCTGGCGTATCCTCCGTGCTAGCCCGCACTGCTGACGGTGCCGAGGATACAGATGGTGTTGGAGAGAGACCGCTGTTTGATACCGCGGAAGAAGAGTGGGTGGGGGGGTTGGTTTTTCTCCATACCCTTAGCTAGCTGAGGCAGTGTAGAGAGCGAAGGCGAGTCCTCTGAGGAGGGACAGAGCGCGAAAGTGGTTTGTCGGCACAGGCCTTTTTCAGTGCCGAGCATGGTGCCGTTTTGGCATGCTTCGGTGCCATGCACTTTTTCGATAGCGCCGTCAGTGCCGAAGCGGTTGGTGCCGCTGATTTTTGCCTTGGCTCTGGATGAGCTCTTTTCTGCGGTGCTGGCGTCTTAAGCTGTGACGCGCTGGAGGTTCCCGGCCTATCCTCGGTGCTAACCCGTAACGCTGACAGTGCTGAGGATAGGGATGGAGTCGGAGAGAGACCGGTTTTAGAGGTCGTGGAAGAAGAGTGGGTAGGGGGTTGATTTTTCTCCATACCCTTACTTGGTTGAGGTGATTTAGACAGCGTAGGAGAGTCCTCTGAGGAGGGACAGAGGGACTTCTCGTATAAGAGAGTCTTTAGTCTATTGGCTCGGTCTCGGCGCGCCCTCGCCGTTAGTTTGGAGCAGTGCAGGTACTTCTGAGTCTGGTGTGCCTCCCCGAGGCACTTAATACAGTTGGAGTGCCCATCGGAAGCAGGCATGGCATCCCGACATGACTTGCAGCGTTTGAAGCCCGGGTTGGGGAAAAGCAGCAAGCCGCAATGAGAATTTTTTTTTTTTTAAATAACTAGACAGAGGAGGCGAATAGGGCTAAAGAACTTGGATGATGAAGTAACTAGGGAATAAAATGAGGTATTTTACTATTTTTAGAGAGAAGTAAGGAGAACAGAGGGCTCCGTCTGCTGCAGAGGACGGTAGAGAAGGAACTGAGGGAGCTGTGCACGCAGGCACCCTTCAATTCCAATGACACTAGAGGGCGCCACGGCGCCTGTGCAGCGTGGCAGAAATGGCTAGAAAAGTCTCTGGTCACCGGCGCGAGGACGCACCAGCACCTACAGTGGAGCACCCACGGGGACCACTTGAAGGAGAAGCAGCATCTCACACTGTTCTAGTGCTTTCATACCAAAAGATCCCAAAGCACATTATGCCAGAGGCATATACAGAAATCACTCCATTCACCTGTAGCCACCTCAGTACCACACAATTACCATCCTGCACCAGCAACACTACCTAAGAGCATCACAGGATAACTTTTCCCATTCAAGAATTCAGGGGAAGTTTAGGGTGGCCATATGTAATCACCCAAATTAAATATGCCCAGGACAACAGGCCTAACATGCTGGGGCTCATGCAAACAGCAACAAAGGATTTTTCATCATCCCCAAATGATCAGCTGTCGATACTACATTCCCATCCCAAGACAGTAAAAATCCAAGATCTCTCCAGTGTCAAGGAGTGCAGGACAAATCTTCAATCTGTATTACCTAGGCTCAGGAGTCAGAGGGGTGTAGCAAATGAGAGAAGGTGATAGTCAGACATAGGGAGTGGAGGTGAAAGGAAAGACAGCAGAAAGGGAAGCTATCTTCACTAACTCCCCCAAATCTCTAACACTGGATTGCTGACTGGTCCTTTACATCCCTGGATTCTAAGGAAATCAAGATGGCGGCTCTAGCTCTCTCCAAAGTGCTACAGGTCAGAGCTCTCTACAAATCAGAGCTCAGGAGGTGGTTGCTACCTTCATACTGAGCATGCCCAGCGTGACCTGGAAGAGCACCAGCGAACCCTGATAGAAGAAGAGGTCCCAGATGCGCAGCAGCAGCTTGATGTGCACGACGCTAGCAAAACATGTGAGGAACCAGTGCAGGGTGATCAGGGACAGTTCTGTGTGGGAAAAGACAGAAAAGGAACGTGACACAGGTGACCAGCTGACCAGAGAGGAAGAGAGCCTGCACAGAACCACCCTTCCTGCCCACAGGGGACACACTCACTAATCCTCATTCCACAGGGATTCTCCAGGCACCATGACTATAAAGGAGGATAACAGTGATGACCTCATTCTGGTGGCTGGCTGGGTGGGAGAAAGGCTCCCAAGCATGGTGGTTAGTAAAACAGTCATAGGAATAAGGGCTTTTTCTTGGGACCTGAGACATGACAGGGCCCACTTTATACAAGACTTAAAAGTGTCCAAAACCCCATGGAACATTGCTCATGCAAACATACAGCCACAGCTGCACACCAGGAACTCAACCCTCCTCTCCTCACAAGTTTAATGTCCCTCTTCACCTGCTGTATCCCCTAACGAGAGATGCTGGCTCTCTCCCCGGCCCAGGGCCAATGCCTCTAT